GAGCCTCGCCGAGGCACGTGGAACGCTCGCCTGGGAAAAGGACGAGGAAAGCGCCTCCAATGAAGGGGGGTGGGGGAGCGCCGGCGGATGGGGAACAAGCAACACAGGTGGCTGGGGAGCCGCAACCGGCGGCGACACAAGCGGTTGGGGCACAGGCGGATGGGGCGCAGCATCTGGCGGAGAAACAAGCGGATGGGGAGCCTTCCGCGAGGACCGAAGGGGGGAAGCGGAAGCGGAAGAAGAAACAACGCAAGCTGAGGCCGAGCCTCCTGTTGTTCCTCTTGGACGCCCTCCGCGCCGCCTTGCGTTAGGACCACCGCCACCTGACATTCCCTCAGGTAGTGACCCCTAGGACACCATCGACTAGGGTAGTGAACCCCTCACCCCGCGACGCACCGTCTACGGACCTGCCCCTGAACTGCGCGAACCGACATTTGTACTTGGTACGATCCCTGGAACCAACATCCCCTACTCCATCATCCGCGACAGAGAATTTCTCGCCCTCATGCTAACGACGGCGAACGAGGAAGAAGAAGAGAACGAGGGAGCAGCGCCTACACCTGCACCGGCACCTGACGAAGACCCCGCAGCTGCACTGGCGCGCTACATGCGCACCTCTGGATTCCGCGCCGACGACGCCATCTGGCATCAGCGCCTAGGTCACCCTTCGCGCGTGACTCTGAAGAACTGCATCGAAGCCGGCGTCCTTCCACCTGACGCACTGCTGCGCCCTGACGGCTCCGAAGTGAGAGGAGGAACTCACCCACGCAGCTGCACTGTCTGCCCCGAAGCTGCGCTGAGTCACCAGCCCTTCCCCCTACTCGAGCCGGGAACCAATCGCTACGCCAAACTTGAGAAGGTCTACAATGACTTTCTCAACGTAGGACACTGCGGCATCAACGACGAGCTCTACACACTCACCTTCGTCGACGCCGGAACACGCCACGTGTGGGTCGTAAACGTGGAAGCACGCAGCAGAGCCTACGAAGCATTCCGCCTGTGGCTGGCGCACGCGCAGCGGCAATCCGGGGAGAAATTGAAGATCTGGCAGTCTGATGGTGCGGCGGAGTTTAGGAGCAAGGAGCTGCAGGATTACCTTGCGCAAAAGGGGATCGAGCATCACGTTTCTCTCCCCTACGCGCACCAGCAGCAGGGCGTAGCTGAGCGCACGAATCTCACCCTCATGACGAAGGTGCGGGCGCTAATGCGGCAGGCGAAACTTCCGCCGATCTACTGGACCTACGCAATGCACCACGCCGTGCGGGTGCACAACCTGCTGTCAACCACCGCAATCACCGGCAACTCCTCGCCGCATGTGAAATGGACGGGAAGAAAGGGGGACACCTCCATGCTCCGCGTCTGGGGGTGCATGGTTCAATACCGACCGCCAACATCAACCATCGGGAAGTTTAAGAGCCGCGCGCGCTGGGGAATCCACCTCGGCATCAGCCACGAACACAAGGCGTGGATCATCCTGGACCTCCTGAGCCAAAAAATCAAGTATGCGCGCGACGTCATCTTCTACGAGCGGCTGTTTCTGCAGCAATTCCGTGACGACGAGCAGACGAACGCAAACCGCGTCTACGCCAATGAGGGCCACAGCTACGCTTCACCTGAGGACGAAGCAGCAGCAGCAATTCTAGAGCAGGATCCCAGAGGGGAGTTCACAAGGGGCGATCGCCGTGACGACGACGACGATGATTCAGGAGAAGGAGGAACGGGCGCAGCGGGAGGAGGTGCAGCAGAAGGAAGCGGAAGCGGCGGAGGCACAGCACCACCAGCACCGCCTGAACCAGAAAGCGATGATGACGACGTGCAGGAAGTCATCACCCAACATCGCCATGACAGCACCGTCACTGGCCTTCAGCTTCTGGGACTTCACGCTGCCATCTCCACCGCTCCGCGCATCATCGAACCTAAGAACCCACGACAAGCTCTCACAGGCCCACACAGCAAGGAGTGGCGCGAAGCAATGGATGCGGAAATCCGTGCGCTCGAGTCACGCGACACCTGGGTGCTCGTCGACCGTGCAGCAGTTAAGGGGAGAAGGATTCTCTCCGGCAAATGGGTCTTCCGCGTGAAGACAGGAGCTGACGGTACGATTGAGCGATTCAAGGCGCGCTGGGTGGTGCGTGGCTACGACCAGAGGCACGGGATTGATTTCGACCAGACATTTGCACCGGTCAGCCGTCACACATCCGTCAGAATTCTGCTCGCCATCGCAGCCGCACGTCACCTACCACTCCGGCAGATCGATGTGAAGAATGTGTTCCTGTACGCGTTAGTAGACGCCGTGATCTACGTTGAACAACCACACACATACGGCGACGGAGACCCACGCGTCTGTCAGCTACGCAAGTCCCTCTATGGGATCAAACAGGCACCAAGGCTCTGGCAGCAGTACCTGCACAACATACTGCTTGAAATCGGGTTCAAGCAGCTGCCTCACGATCCTGGGATGTATCCCCGCGATTTCCGCGGCGAATACATCTTGCTCACGGTCTACGTCGACGACCTCCTCTACACAGGGTCAAGCAACGAACTGCTCGAGCAATTCGAGAAGAGCCTCGCAGGGCGCGTCGACATTACCTGCAATCATGACGTGAAGCAGTTTCTCGGACTCAACATCACCTACTCGCCGGAAGCCATTCATCTCTCAGCGGCAAAGTATGCAGAGGAGCTTAGCAAGCGCTTCAACATTGCGCCTGCACCACTCTCCACCCCTTACCGCACTCCAGGACCCAACCACAAGCCTGACATCAAAGCCCTATCCCCTGCTGGGCTTCAAACCTACCAGCAGCAGTTGGGATGCCTGCTCTTTGCATCTGTTACCTGCAGACCCGACCTTTCCTACATCGCGAGCCAGTTAGCTCAGTACTCTCGCAAACCAACGACTGAGAATCTACTAGATCTCCAGCGGGCGCTCCAGTTCTTCATCTCCACGCCCAGCGTCGGGCTCTGTTACTCCACCATCCCAACTTCGTCCTTCAACCTCATCGGCTACGTGGACGCCGATCACGCTGCTGACCCCGACAATCGACGGTCCAGAACGGGCTTCCTCTTTCGCCTCGAGCCCAGCGGCCCCATCTCTTGGAACTCGCAGAAGCAAGAGCTGGTTGCCCTGTCATCAGCGGAGGCCGAGTTCATCGCAGCGACAGCAGCAGTTCGCGAAGGTCTCTACCTTCAGGAGCTGCTGCAGGAGGCGAAAATTCCTACCTCAGCAAACTTTCGCCTGCACTGCGACAACCAGAGTGCGATCAGGATCGCGAACAAGCCAGGATTCGTCAACCGCACCAAACACATCGCGCTGCGGTACTTCTTCGTCAAAGACGAAGTTGACAAGGGCAAGGTTGACCTAACCTACTGCCCGACGGGTGACATGGCAGCTGACTTCCTCACGAAGAAGCTGTCACGTCAGCAGTACCAGCACTGTTCCGAACTCAGCGGGGTAGTCAAGCGGGTCAAGACTCGCTACGGCCAGGAGTGAAGGGGGGTGTTACGAATAGTGATTATTGAAAACACTATTGAGCACTCCTCACCGCAGCAACCGAAGCACGCACTACCGAGACTGAAGATGAAAGGGCGCAAGTGACACGAAGGGTCACACGGTTACGAAGAGTATCTGGACCGTCGGGCAGACAGCATCAGGCAGCAGCAGTGGCGAGGATTCTGCCCGAACAGTTTTGTAACTGTCAGGAGTCGCACGGTTGGATTTCGCTGCAATAAGGGAATGTACCCCTTAGAGTACATGGCTAGCTAGGTCGTTTCGAATTTCCTTGTACTCTTATTTATATCCTTTGTATTGCATGTTTTTATCATCTCAAGCATTTACATTCACTCTGCTATTGAGGTCAAGGGCCCACCACCACTAGATTAGAAGTGTGCGAACCTTCCTGAGGTGATCCTGGTCACGATCAACTTCTGTTCGCAACACTGCTGATGTCATTTCGCTGGAACGAAAAACTGCAACCCGCCTCAAGTGAAAACGGGTTACGACCCGGGTCTTTTAATTTTCAGCCTTGGGCCTCCCCTCCCCCCCATTTTGTGGGGGGAAGGGGCGGGGGGGGGGGGGGGAGAGTGGGGTGGGAGGGGAGGGGGGGGGGGGGGGGGGGGGGGGGGGAGGGTGATATCATTAAACCCCGGGTATAGTATCCAGGCGAATGCGATATACTTGTTTCAAGCAAAAAAAACTCATTCCAAATTCTTGCTTTTGTATTCGAAGGATTACGCTAGGTATTCCAGAGACTATTATAGATTTGGCTTTCTCATGCATAGTAGGTACTCGATGAGGCCTCCCATACTTAAACCTAAGCATATCCCTCCAGAGAAGAAATTGTTTCATCATTCATTGTATCATCTTATTTCTCACCTTTCCGCTTGTGAGAGCCATCTAGAGCTAACGATCAGGGCACATGAATCTAGCACCTCTCAAGAACTGCAGCAGAACAACCACCATATGATGACTGCGTCCTGGATGAGTAGCAGGTGGAAGGAGAGCGAGTGGCAGCTAGAGAGCTAGAGAGAGGGAGAGCAGGAGAAAAAGAGAGAGAGGGAGGGAGGGAGAGGGAGAGAGAGAGAGAGAGGGAGAGAGAGGGAGAGGGAGAGAGGGAGAGAGAGAGAGAGAGAGAGAGAGAGAGAGAGAGAGAGAGAGAGAGAGAGAGAGAGAGAGAGAGAGAGAGAAAGAGAGAGAGAGAGAGAGAGAGAGAGAGAGAGAGAGAGAGAGAGAGAGAGAGAGAGAGAGAAGGGGAGGGGGGGGGGGGAGGGAGGGGATAGGGAGAGCAGAGGAAACAAAGAGAGACTGTGTCAGCAAAACACATGGGAGGAACGACCGTGCCTTCTCCGAGGGTGCGTGCTAGCTACTGGCGACTTGAGCAGGCGCCGACCCAAGCCATCCACAATCATGGACTGCTCTATTCCCAGCGGCCCATCCGTGTTAGCGGGCTCCGCTCCTCCTCCCTCTCCATCCCCGTCAGGAACTTCTAAAGGACCCATCCCTCCTGCTACAGCTTCTCCCAATCCTCCCCCCCCCCCTCCTCCCCCTCCCCCTCCCCTCCCCCTCCCCCTACCCCTCCCCCTCCCCCTCCTCGCATGTCTCGTCTCCTCCGGCCTGGCCCTGTTGCTTCAGAACTGCTGCCATCGGGTTCTGTCCCTAGGTGGGGTTCTCCTCCTCCTCTTCCTCCTCCTCCCCCTAATCCTTGCAACTCATTCAGATCAAGGCCTGCATCCCAGTTATCTAGAGAAAACGCACCACCACCACCACCACCACCGCCCCCACGAGTCGCATCACCATCGCCTAGAGAAAATCCGCTGCTTGTCCCGCTCCCTACTCTGCTGCCTGCTCTGCTGTTTCTGCCACCGCTCTGCACTCGTGAGCGCGCGTCGTAGCTTTCACTGCTGCCTGCTTGATGCTCTGCTGCTGGTATCCGCTCTGAGCCACCCACTGTTGCCTCATTCTTGTGTTGGAAATCTTCTGCTGCCAACTCAGCCGCAAAGTCCCCTAGGAGGTTGTCGACTGTGTGATCACCCACCGATACCAGCGGCACCAATTCAGCCACGTCACAAACATCACTCTCCTTCTCCCCCTCCTGCTGCTGCTGCTGCTGCTGCTGCTGTGGCTCCAATTCCTGGTCCAGCCCTCCTCCTGTTCCCGCCCCCCCTGCACCACTGTTCACCTCCACAACTTCTCCTCCCCCCAAATCCCCAACACCTCCTGCTGCACCAGCTTCTTTTCTTAGCGTTTCTCCCCCCTCTCCTCCACCTAACCTTCCTCCACCAAACCCTCCCCCTACTGCTCCACCTCCTCCTCCCCCTATCCCCCCTCCCAGCACCTTGTTTCCTGGAAACCCTTTTGGCTTGCCTCTCAGGGATTGCAATAGCTGCCTATCAACCCTCGCACTAGCCGAGGCCAAGGCCGCCATGTAATCTGACGATACCTCTGCACCCTTCACCTCACAGAACTCTCCATCATCCTCCTCCTCTTCCTCCTCCTCTTCCCCCCTCCTTTCTCCCGCACCCTTCCCTCCACCTCTACTCCCCTCCTCCTCCTTCCCCTCCCCTCGCCCCATCTCCTCTAGATCTTGAAACCGGACCCCTTTGCGAGCATAAGGAGGAGGCGCCTTTCCTGTGCCGCCGCCGCCGCCGCTACTGCTACTGCTGCTAACATGCAGCCTGCTAGAAAGCGAGCCCATCTCATGCGCACCCCCACCTCCTCCCCCGGCCCCTCCCCCCCCCATTCTTGGCGGCCTGGCAGCAGAAGGGGCAAGCCTATCCCTTCCTGTGGGGCTCTTTCTGGAGTTGGAGAGGGACGAAGGGGAGGAGACTGGCGAGGAGGAAGGAAGAGGGGGGCGGGTGGGGCTGAAAGGCAGGTGGTTTTCGGTTGCTGAGAGGCGGAAACGCGAGGGGGAGAGAGACGGCGGGCTGGATGGCGGCAGGACGTGGGGGGGTTGGTTGTGGGGAGAAGAGGAACGGGCAGGTAGGGTGGAGAATTGGCCAGGGATGGAGCGTGGAGGGGAGAGGGGAGGGGAGCGGGGAGGGGAGCGGGGAGGGGAGTGGGAGGGGAAGTGGGAGCGAGAGTTCTGGGCGGGTGGGTGGGAAAACTCGAAGGAAAGAGAATCTGTGGACGTTTTACCATTGCCTGTTTTGATTTCTGCGATTCTGGTACTGCTCCCTGCGTCTCTTAAGCTTGCTGCCTCTCTCCCCCCTTGTGTGGTGGCGAGTGCAGGTTCTGAAGTGGCTTCCCCAACAGCTCTTCTGCTGCTGCTGCTGCTGCTAGTGCCGATGCTGGTGGTGGTTGAGAGAGGGTCCTGTGACTTGTTCCACATGGGACCAAACGCAGGGCTCATAGGACTCAATTCACTACCATCACCCAGTAATAAAGCTGCTGGTTCGACTGTCACTGCCAACCCACCACTACCAACGCTGCTATCATTGCCAGAAACAGCAGTAGAACCAGCAGCAGAGGCAGCAACAGCAGAAGCAGCAGCAGCAGCAGCAGCAGCAGCAGCGCCGCCAGCACCAGAAACAGCGGCAGTGCCAGACTGTCTGTCCGGCATACCAGACGTTCCATATCCCTGTGTTTCCCCTTTCCCATCTCCCACCACCTCCGCCTCTCCACCTGTTCTTGCCAACCTCCCCTCCGTTGCCCCTGCCCCTGCACACACAGCCTCTCCCTGGTCTCCACCCCTGCCCTCAACATTCGCACAGCCACCAGCCGTGCTCCCTGCGTGCGTAGCATCACCAGCAGACGCACTCACACCACAGGGCTTTAAGGGACTGAATGCATTGCTCATCCCGCCCCCACGCAAATTACTGATGGTGCTGCTCTCTACATTGCCTGTTCTTGCAGTGTCAGTGGGAGCTTGTGATGCGGATAGGGAGGACGGGATCTCTGCTGCCCCCGAGCCTGCTGCTGCCAAACCTGCTGCCAAGCCTGCTGCTGCTGCAGGTGGAGGGGCGGGAATGGCGCAAGTCTGAACGAGCCATTCGTTTCCTGGAAGGGGGGGGTGGGAAGGAAGGGGAGAGGGAGAGGGAGGGGAGTGACGGGAAACAAGGGGTTGCAGGGTCATGCATGTGTATTTGTGTTTACCTACACACATGCATGCATGCACGTGACCGAATCCGCTTAGCTCCATCCAAGCCCATGGCAATTAACGGCGTGCATGATTGTACAGAACAGAACTTGCTATGCAACAGCATGCAATGCAGCACAGCACAGCACAGGCGAACACTACGGGCGAAACGATGCAAGAAAACGGGAGATCGGAGGTGGGGGGATGGCAGAAACGGATGGGACTTGGGCGCTTAGGGGCGTGATTGAGAGAGCGGCGAGGTGCTGTTATAAGTTTAGGTTGTTGTGATGGCCCATAGAAAGTCGGATAGGCGGTGCCGTGTTGAGATGTCCAGTGGCAAAGGAAGGGAGAAGGAAGAGGAAGAGGAAGACGAGGAGACAACCAGAAGAGTCACCTTTACAAACCAAAAAAAGCAGCAACAGCATGAGAGCAAGCAAACACAAGGATCATCATCAAAAGCATACTCCGCTCTTTGAACAAACCTTCCCTCGCTCCTTTAAGGCGTCTCAAAAGACCTCTCTCGCGCTTCTGACGAGCCCCAAAACACCTCTCTCGCTCCCCTCCCACATAACGTACTGAGGACTTCGTTGGGCGTGGCTCGCTTGGCCGAGTCGTGCCGGAGCAGTCGGGCCAGCAGGTGCCGCGCAGGCAGCGGCACGGCGTCCCAGGGAGGCGAAAACAGGTCCAGAAAGCCCTCCTCGCGCGCAATGCACAGCGCGAGGGACGGCGCTCCCACGTCGTAGGGCGGGCGGCCGGAGAGCAGCAGGAAGGCGAGCGCGCCTACTACCCATATGTCAGATTCGCCCTCGGATTCGGATTTGAGCAGGTCGGGCGGCAGGAAGTTGTCGGGACCTGCCCTCTGGATTAACGCTCGAGCTGGTTTGCGTGCGGGGGAGTGGGGGGGGAGTGGGGGACAGTGGGGGGAGTAGGAGGGAGTGGGGGGGAAAGGGAGGAGGGGGAGTGGGGGGATGGAGCTTGTGGGGGAGGCAGTGGGCGTGAGGGAGTGTTGGGTGGAGAAGAGGGATTTGCAGGCGAGGTGGTTTTGGGAAGGGTGTGAGGAAGAGTGGGACGGGGAGAGAGAATGGGAAGGGAATGGGGACAAGGAGGACAGGGGGGGGGGCCAAGGGGAGGGGTTGAAGGGAGGGTTGACTGTGAAGAGCAGTGTCTAAATCGAGCATCTAGAAATTATTATGTTTCCGCTCACCTTTACCACCACGCCTCCCTTCCCAATCCCTTTCCGCTCGGCCTAACTTTCTCCCTCCCTTTCCTCCCTCCCTTTCCTCCATTCCTTTCCCCGTCCGACCGCCACTCCCTCCTCTCCCTTGCCTCCCCCTTTCCCCCCGTTCTCCTCACCTGCAGAAACAACAGCCTGCAGGCTGCTATCAAGCGAAGAGGCGTCTGAAACCAGCCCAGGCCCGAATAGCAACAGCTCCTCCCCTTCCTCCTCCCCCTTTCTCCTCCCCCTTTCTCCCACCCCTTTTTCGCTCGCCCCTCCCGCGTCCCCGTGCGCCCCCCGCCTGTGCGCGTGCGCGCGCGCAGCCCGCTGCGCCTTCACGCGGAACTGGTTAAGCGCGAGCACGAGCGAGCGCACAAGGCGCGCGGCCCACCAGTACCCGCACGGCTGCGGGCCGTTGACCGCGTCTAATAACTGCTGCAGCTCCGCGCGGGCCTCATCGTCCATATTTGAGTCACTTTTAAATCACTTTTCAGAATACTTTGACTATTCTCAAAAGTGGGGTAGGCGGAAACGGGTATGGGTAGGACTATAGAGGCGTTTCGAGCGGCGGGTAAGCGTGGCTGGGTGTGCGTTAACGGGGAGGCGTAGGAGGGTAAGGGAAGGCGGGTAAGGTTGGGAGGGTAAGCGCTGGGGGGTTAGGTAAGGCGCGTCTGGAGGCTGATGAGGACTGGCTGCTGCTTGCGGCTAGAGGCGGTTATGGCTGGAGTGGTGGGTGAGGATAGGTGGGTGTGTGACGATACAAGGACTTAAAGCGCGCTCTTTAGGTATCACGAATGCGCTAGTAGCGAGGACGATGCTCGCGCGATTCGATGGGCCAAAGGACGGTTCCGAGACGACGGTTCGGCCCTACGGCGAGCAGCAGCGGTTGAGGAGCAGCGAGAGAAGGAGAGACAGGCGTTGTATGTAACCAACTCGAAGCACGGCTAGCTGCGAAAGCGGGGAGGAAGGGGAGGAACGGCAAAAGGGGAGGGCGAAGGGGAGGAGGGAGAGCGGGAGGGGTGTGTAGGGGGAAGAGGAAAAGAGTTAAAAAAAAAAGGGAAGACATAGGGTTGAGAGAGGATGGGATGGAGGGAAGAAAAGACATCCTAGCTCAAGGAGCCACGAGGAAGGAGGTAGACGGGAAGAGTAGTAAGGCTGACTGAAGTTCCCAACTAAGGCTGACGGGAGGAAGAATGGGGAGGAGTGGGGGAAGAGAATTGATGGGGCAGGTGCGATGTTCTGACGTGGAAGAGCGTTATTGGAAGGGATGGAAGCTGGAGGGCTGAACAGCTTCAAGCGCAACTTGAAACAACGGAAGTCACTCGGCAAGCAGACGGAAGCAGATGAATGCAGGAATAGGGCGAAACAAGAACGAGATGCGGAATGCGGCATGCACACTACTATCCCATAGGTTGTGAAAGCACGGTAACAGTAACTATAAACTCCGAGTTTGCGCAAACATACAAATAATGAGGAGAAGGGGAGAACCTGCTAGCTCAGCGCAACAATGTAAAAAAATCGCTGTGTCTAACAATAGCGACAAAATGTAGGATTTAAACGCAGGACGTTAGATATAATAGCACGTAAAAGGACGATGGACCAGTAACTCAAGAGGTATATTTAGGCGCCTAGGAAAATGACGGAACGAACCAGTCAATGCCGTCTCCCGTCTTCTCTTCCAGAAATGCTACTCCATGATCAAGGATGGATAGCAGAACCCTAATCAGCGCCTCTTGATGTAGACATGCGCGCCGTTTCGTTTCCACGACACGTAAATTTCTGGACAGCCACACCCTCCCTTCCTACTCCCTTGTCAATGTAGGGAGACTAGCCGCGTAATCTTGCAACACACCGAGCAGAGCACGAGAATTGAAGAGCGAGGGGCAATTTTCTGAACAATGTCGATAATGCGACTCTTTGGTTCCGTCTAAGTCATACTAAGAAAGAACCCCATGGCGGACCAGAGAATCAAAAGTTGCACCGCTCGTTATTACTTCACGTCTAACAAACCAGCAACAATGCAGCTCAAACCGCGCTGCGGATACTACATAGGTGGTTTTCTACGATCCAAAGCTTTCCTCCTGTTACCCCTTTGTCCTGGAACAGGAGGTGGGTGTGAGGTGTGGTGTGGAAGGAACAATTGAAATCCCTAGGTTCTGTACGGTACCCCCTAGGTTGCTTTCTGCTCCTCCCAATTGTCGTCACATGGTGAGCGGGACCAGGTTTGGGGGAACCGTAGGCTCTTGATGTGGAGGATTCTGAACAAAAGAACGACTCTTTGTAACGAAGCACAAAAAGTTCAAGCTGGTTCCAGATGGTAATGGTGGATGCCACAACGGTTTTCTATGGTACTGAAAGGTTACCTTGCTTGACTTTTCGAATCATTTGCTCGCGGGCTCCATGGAAAAGAACGAGCTGCCCGGCTGGGTTGATTGGGGGACTGATGAATGAAGTTCGAAATGGTTTGGAGGTTCGTGAAGTGTGGAAGTGCCTTAGGGCGGGTCACGTTTAGATGAACCCGACACGTTTAATGCGGTTCGGTGCTTTAGAGAGGGGTTGAAGACGATTCTGAGTTTTCACCGAAGCTAACCGTATTTTATCGTTTTTTGACGTACTTTAACGCATTAAACGTACCAGGTTCATTTAAACGTGACCCGCCCTTAGAGGCTGCAGGCCAGGCTTGAAAAGTTCAGGAAGTTGGTGGTTATGGTTCGGCTCAGCAAGGGACGCTCGTGCTTGGCTGGCAGGTTTGAGCTCCGTTAGTAGTCAAGCCGGGACCAGGAGCTTGGGTTGGTTTGGGAGAAGAACAAGGCATCCACAATAGAGTAGACATCTAGTAACGGGAATGTGAAGTACATATTTGAGACAATATTTCACATTTCATATACTGTCTTGAAAATCACAAATAATCCAAATCATACTAATATTTTTTTACTCACACATGTCTCAAACAAATTACTACGAACTCTAAAATGCCAAAACTATCATTGTAGCAGTTGTGTTTGTGTTTTGCTGTTACAACTGGCATCATTAGTTACTTATATGTGTCTATGCTCTGTTACAATTACTGAAGTTTTAATTATTCGTTTAAAAAATCATATTTTTGCTTCAAGGCGCCATTATCCCGACAACTGCAATTTGGCCATCTTAGTCATTCTTTCTTTGACATGTTTATCTCCTAGCGGGTACTTCCATGCTGGTCCCACCACGAGCCTCAGGTCTGGTATTTCCGCTCTGAGCTGGCGCATGACCACCGAAGCTGGGTGAAAGTGTTGGCACGCATTTCCCCACCGACCGTGCGCCTATCACGAAATGATTTTGCGAAGGCTCTTGTTGTCGCCACATACGGAAATATGCCAGTTGAGGCTGCACGCAGACGGCGGGGATGAAAGTGATAGTCTTTCGCGCCGTAAATCCATTGATGGTTCGGGGTGAAATCACGCGCTTCGACGGGAACATGGAATCTGAATGTCCAGCTCTGGTCTGAAAATCACGTCAGCTTGGGCGCTCGAGCAATCCACACCGTAGATGAGCAAAGCCCGTCTCGCGTCTTTCGTGAGCAATGCGAATCGACCGTTGCACTCATCAGTGTAATGAGCATATTCTGCATTTATCGTAACGCATCCCATGTCATCTCTCTAAAACCCTCAAACTCGTAGATAACCGCAACGTCAACCCAAAGCAAACTCAGGATTTGCTTGCGGCGTGCCGTACAAATTGTATTGAGCCTATGAATGTTACATTGGGTTGGGATGCGGCTCGGATCCGCAGCACTCGTACTCACCTACACCAGACCGACACCCAGTCTATTCCAGTCAACTGGCAAATCTCACACCTGCCTTTCACATTCCAAGAGTTCCGTTCAATTCCACCCGCCCTTCCACCCTTCCTCCCTCCTCATCTGCCGACCGTGACTAAAGTCTCCATCTCCGTCCCCGTCGTTCGTCACTCGGCCCCTGCCTTCTGCGGGGCACTCCATTCACAACACAGCAGTAACTTAGCACACAGACAGCTAGCCACGATATATCGTATTCAGCGGGTTTTTATTGTCCATAGTAATTATTTTCCTATAGCCACGCCAGGTCAAACAAGTATCCGCCAACGCCCCTGTGAGCATGCTCGGATTCGTAAGAACTCCATCGCTCACCGAAGTACCTCGGAAGCACGCGTCCATATCTCGACAGCAGTAATCGCTCGACTTTCTGGGGTACCTAGCAAGAATACCGTTGCGCTCCTCATTTTTTACCTCGCTTTCCTCACCTCTCCCCCTCCGCACCCCCCTCTCCCGTCCTCCCTACGACCCCACCCTTCCCCCGCTTTCCCCCCTTCCCCCCTTTCCCCCCTTCCCCCCTTTCCCCACTCGATCCCGCGCGCGCCTCGTAGACTCTTAACTATATCGGCCTCAAGCGGATCCTTTAGAGCCTCGCGGTCTTAAAACGAGCTCAGTAGGTGGGACTGTGGTCACCGCAGCAGTGCGGTCACACCGATAGTACCGCGCTGAGGCAGTCACCATCCCTGACACCACAATGCCTCCACTCGCCGGGCCTAGATCTCGCTAGTCAAGCGAGGTCTGCCCCGCGACCGCGATTCGCTCAGCCATTCACAGGCAACCTTTCAATCCTTATTTAGGTCGCAGAACGTACAGGTAGCTGGAATAATTGCATGCGCCGCAAGCCGAAACCGCACAAGCAATCGCATAAAAGGTTCGCAAGCTAGGTGCTGGGTTGACCTCGCACCCCGAGAAGACGCCGGCCACTCTGGTACAGCTTTTATCGCGGACGAGGAGAGCGTGGATTGCGGGGGATACTGGTGCGCCAAGGCACGTCAGCATGACGACGAGACCGCGGGTTTCGGGGGCTGCGGTCGATGCTGTCTGCCGTGTGTCGCGGCGGCCTTCGCGCCGTACGCGTCGGCCCGCGATTCTTGCCGTGCTCATAGCCTTCGTCGCGATCGCAACAAGCGCCGTGCTTGGCGCGCAAGGTGCGTCTTTTCAGAAAGCAAAAAATAGGGTGTGGCGTGTGCGATGTGATTTGTCGTTACTCATGGTTAGCAAGGGCTGCAGTGCTAGAGAATGCTTTTAGCAAGAAATAGAGAGAGTTAAAAAAACCCTAGCTGGAAAAAGAGAATTCTGAACGCAAAAAAAAGGGTGTGGCGTTTGCGATGTGATTTCTGAGGCGCCTCACAAAATCGGCGCCGTGCGTTTAAACGCAAGGTACGTCGTTGTGAGGAGGGCGGCGCAGGGTGCCGCAAGGTGCGATACGTGAGGCGCGCCTAAAAGGGTGTGATTTGTGCGATAAGGGTGCGCATGTTCAGATATCGAGGTGGCTGTAAAAGGGGTGCGCAAGGCACGCACGCACGCGCATAATACAGCTGCTCCCAGCTGGCCGCTGGAGCTGCTGCTCCTGCAACGCACGCCCGCTCGCACGCTCGCACGCACGCCCACACGGATCAGAGCCTGATCCGCG